TCAAAGTTTTAATTTCCAAGACCCTCAATCTAGGATGTTATTATATTATAATTAACTCACGTTCCTTCATGCTAGAGCTCGGCTCATAGTCATGCTAAATTGTGCTAGAGCTCGGCTCATAGTCACACTACGTTTGCTAGAGCTCGGCTCATAGTCATACCTACATTTTGCTAGAGCTTGGCTCATAGTCATACTACTACGTGCTAGAGCTCGGCTCGTAGTCATACTAATTTGTGCTAGAGCTCGGCTCATAGTCACACTACAATTGCTAGAGCTCGGCTCATAGTCATACCTACATTTTGCTAGAGCTCGGCTCATAGTCATACTACTACGTGCTAGAGCTCGGCTCAATGTCACGTCATCTAGTCCTAAACAATTTCTTAGTCTAGGCTCCTTCCACTTTGAGTAACCCTTATGGCCTACTCCTAATGTAACTTGAGTTCATATAATCCACCTTAAAATATCCTTTAAGGTTACTTAGCTCCAATATCTTGGGATTAGCCCCAAAGAACTGTTGAATTAACATTTCCAACTAGTATCTCTATACTAGTCATTTAATCTTGATATAACCAACACATAGCTATAAAAGTTCATATATTTCGATTTAATTTCTCATGCAAGTATTGTTTGGCTTTAATATCAAAATATCACCTTTATCCTTCCATGACTTCTTTACATGAGGTAAAAGTATATTTATCACAATGAACATTCTTGGTTAACACCACTATCATGCCACTTTATTCATAACACATAATCATACACAATTTATTCATAAATTTGTATATTATGCATTTTCACTTGTAAGTAATATTAATTCCATTTAGGCACTTTTTATCATTTAAAAATCCATGCCAAACACATTTAATTCATTTAGGTAATCTCATGAAATTAACCCAATAATTATAAGCAATATAGTCGGTCATCCTCACCTTAAGTGAGCTTAAGCGTGTTCTACGCTCCGCGGTTGAACTTTGACTAATTCCGGTGAACTTTGACCAACTCCGGCCAACTTTGACCAACTCCGGCGAAACTCCGGCGAAGCTCAAAGATACTCTAAATCAAGTTCCTAACAAGGTTTTACATCATAAAACCTTAATCAATACACATAACCCTTAAAAGGTTATTTTCCGGTGAACCGGTCGGTTTGGCTTCTAAGTCCGTTCTTGGACTTAGAACTACTCCCCAACCCATTATTCCACACTATTGGCATGTAGAACAACCTCAAGGGTTCTCCATAAGATATGTATCTCATAGGGTAGGGGAAAAATAAAGGAAAAGTTACTACAAGGTCATTACCTTAATCTTTCTCACTTTTCCTAGCCTTTTTCTCCCTTTAATCTTCCTCCTTGGAACTTCCTTGCTTGGGCTCGAATTAGCTATGGAGTATGGAGTTGAAAAGCTTCCCCTCTCTCTCTTTTCCTTGTGATGGCCGAAATATGGTAGGGGGGTTGGGTTGTGAGACTTGGTTTTGTCTCAAATGGCCAAAGGGCCCCTTTGCACCTCCTCCACTCATCCTCTTGTCAACCCAGCTCCCCCTTGTCCATTCTAGCACAAAAAAACGTGGGGTGGCCCTCACTCATGTGGGAGGTCATCCCCTTGTGTCCCAATGTGTACAATCGGTCCCGAAAGTTGTATTTTTCGGACTGTTTTAACTGTATTTTACTTTATCGGGTCAAATAAAATATATTATGTGTTTCTTAATCATTATGACCCTTATAATGAATATAAATTTCCCAACTTTAATTTATAGTCTCCGAAATTCATTTCGGGCTTTTATCCGTTAAATTACCAGTAACGGTATTTTGGCCTTTTTGATCAACCGGTCAACTCTATATCATCTCTTTGGACCAATAAATTATCCACCACTATATAAATATTATATTGACCAAGATGGATAAAATATACGGTCTCGGGAATATCGGGCGGCCCCCGCTCCCGGTGTGGGCCCCACGTGCGAATTTACTCTTCACGCAAAATAATTAATAAAAATTCACAACTTCGTATTCTCATTAACCATTATACAAGGTTCAATACATTATTCACTTACAAGTAAATACATTTGGGGACGGTGTTACAAAATCAATGTCCAAAATCAGGAAAGAAGAGGAAGAAGAAGAAGAGGAGGAGGAGAAGGAGGAGGAAGAAGAAGATGAGGAAGAAGAGGAGGAAGAAGAAACCTCTGGCGGTGGTGTCTGATGAAGTCAACCGGAGCAGCTTGAATTCGAAATATATGGATCTGGTGAAGTCGATTTGGAAGCTCTCCGTCAAGTTTGTTGCGAAGATTGAAGCTCATCGGTGTCGAAATTTTCTTCCAGAAAAAGCTCTTCGTTTGGGTCCTCGTCAAAGGCAACATCGTCCACTAGGGGATTTACTATCTGATTTTATATTAAGGGTAGAATGGTCAAAACAAAGGCACTTATGTCCTGCGCCAGTTTGTAATCCTAGATTTGGAAAGTTTATACGTTTTGGTCTTATTTGTAGAAATCTCTCCCAAAATTTGGTGATAGTTTTATTATCTGGCCCATATGATATTGAGAGATGGAAATATTGACTTACCCACTCTATCGGTAATTTTGTGATGTTCACTTAGCATTGCTCTTAGAATTTTCCATGAGTCAATTTGAAAATATACATGGTGCTGGCTGTGAAGTACAACATACCATTTTGTCTTCTGGCTTAAAGCAAGCAATGAACTTTCTGCTATTAAGGAAAAAAACAAATAATGAACAAACATTTTTTTTTTAAATGTGGGTGATATATAGGGAGAGGGAGAGGGAGAAGGAGAGAGATCATAGGTTTTATGAGGTGACAAAGAAATCAAGGCTTTGCCATAAGGGTCTTTGAGAGTTTCCATGGTATCCAGTGCAAGAAAATGCTATGTTTAAGGTTTAGTATCCCAATTGGCCAATTAATTGGTTTTTCATAAATACTCCGTATTCAATATCCACGCACTTAGTCACTAATAGATTACAAATATGTATCATCAAAATTATGAAAAGTTGAAATTTTAAAAACTCATTTTGAAATGAATCTAAGAAAATTTCACAATGGTTAAAATGTGTTTTCACGGCAAGTATTTTAGAAATTGTTCAACATATAACTAAAACATTTACGAAGTTCAAAAATAGGACTACACATATATGTTTTATACTCCAAATAAGACTTATTTGATCCTATTAAAAGAATAATTAGTTGATTAAAACTTCTCAAAATAGGAGTGAATTAGTCCTATTTTGGAAATAAACAATGATATGTAATCCTATTTAAAAACATAATCTTTATTTTAATCCTATTTAGGGAATTTTCTATATACATTTTTTCCAAGAAAGAAACATATACTACGTACATCCATATGTTCTGCAAGCATGATAATATATATGGCGGCATGGCAACCCATCATTATACATACCTTGGAAAACATGGGGGATTTAGGACATCAAATTATACTCCCTCCGTCCTATTTTAGTTAGCCAACCTTGACTTTTCCGATCAAAGGTCGTAAACTTTGAGCAATTATTTGAACTAATATATTTATGCAAAAAATAATAATCATATACTTTTATGATAGTATTTTCAACAAAGAACATTTTCATATAATTTTCATATTATTAATATTTTATCTATATAAATATATAAGCGGTCAAAGTTAGGTACTATTGACTTGAAAAATCATGTTTGGCTAAGTAAATTGGGACGGAGGGAGTATAAACTAGGATGTGAATCTTATTTCTAAGCTTATTAAAACGGTCTCATTTAAGAAGTTAGAAAAACTAATGACTGAAATTTGCTGGTCTGGTCTGGTCTGGTCTGGTCTGGTCTGTTTAAGTCCGGTCTGGTCTGGTCTGGTCTGTTTAAGTCTGGTCTGGTCTGGTCTGGTCTGAACTGGTCTGGTCTGGTCTGGTAAACGTCTGGTCTCTGTGTATTTTATAACTACGGAAGTCTGGTCTGGTCTGGTCTGGTCTGTTTAGGTCTGGTCTGGTCTGGTCTGGTCTGGTCTGGTCTGTTTAAGTCTGGTCTGGTCTGGTCTGGTCTGGTCTGGTCTGGTCTGGTCTGTTTAAGTGTGGTCTGGTCTGGTCTGGGACTGAAAACAGTCCAAAAGAAAACATCCTTAAATATTTCAATATAATTTAAGTAAATGCATGCCCGCATTGCAACTTAGCAGTACGTGTTTCTTTTTAATTAAAAACTCCGTATTTCAATTATATTAGAAAATAGATTACGGATGTATAGATAATAGATACGATAAGGTTTTATTAATAAATGAACTAGACAATGTTTAGAAACTAGATCATGAATAGATAGGGGTTTTCAATGTAAGGATGTTTTCTTTTGGACTGTTTTCAGTCCCAGACCAGACCAGACCAGACTTAAACAGACCAGACCAGACCAGACCAGACTTAAACAGACCAGACCAGACCAGACCAGACTTAAACAGACCAGACCAGACCAGACTTCCGTAGTTATAAAATACACAGAGACCAGACGTTTACCAGACCAGACCAGACCAGTTCAGACCAGACCAGACCAGACCAGACTTAAACAGACCAGACCAGACCAGACCAGACTTAAACAGACCAGACCAGACCAGACCAGCAAATTTCAGTCCAAAAGAAAACATCCTAATAGACCATATATATTTAGATCAAACAACATGTTCATCAATTGAAAAAAATACGAAGGATATATGCAAGATACACTTGCGATAAATTGTACTAGTACTAGCTAGCTAGTTACAAGCTTAGGAAGCTATATATATATATATATGGCTGATTCGATTACATATATACAGTTTCTATAAATTTCACCGTTCAAAAGATATACTCCGTATATAGAAATAACTCAAAATGGAAACTAAAAATAGAAGATCGATCGATAATTAGTTCTGCATGCATGCAATGCCAATATGCCATTCATGTAAATTAGGAAAGGCCAACACCATACTATCTTCTATATAAATGGCAAAACCGCGGCCACATAGCCTTCAAGTCTCAAAACCCCTCAAAAGCATATTGATCCAATTCAACAATGGCAAAGCTCATGATAATACTTGCCTGTTCTTTCTTAGCATCTCTTCCATTCGATGCGTTTTATGGTCATTGGGAACTCTTTCTGGGGACCCAACTCAAACACATAAGTAAGTTCGGTTCGGTAGGTTCGAAAGGGATTGCTTTAGATCCACCGGTCACAACCATAAACGTCGACAACTTTGGAGCAATCGGTGATGGCAAAACCGATGATACGGTGGTGAGTCAATCTTAACGAAACGGTTTCATGCACGAAGCTAGCTATACACATATATACTCGTGCATATAATAAGATTGAATAAGTAACATGTACTGTTCAATCTAATGCACCAATATATGTGTAATTTAGATTAATTAGTTGAAGAAAAATTTGTGTTACTCGTTTTATATACATGTACTTCACGGTATTAATTTTATTAGTATTTGAATTTAATGGTTCTGGTAAAATGGTTAATAATATATTTTCAGGCTTTTCAAAAGGCTTGGGAAGCAGCATGTTCGTTATCTACTCCAACCCCAGTCAATTTGCAAGTATCCATGATGAAGAACTATCTTTTGAAACCAGTTTCATTTTTGGGGCCATGCAAATCACCTATTACAATTCAGGTTGAGTTGTGTGTGTGTATTTATTTATATATATATATATATATATATATATATATATTCACATATTTTTGCAAGAATTTTTATAGCTAGATGCATGAATATATATATATACTTAATCAAAGTATAAATAAACTTTTGTTTGTTTATTTAATTTGTGTGCAGATCAACGGAAATATTGAAGCTTCTGATAATCACGACGACTACAAAAATGATCTGAAGCATTGGCTTAAGTTTGAGAGTGTCCAAAATTTGACTATTGAAGGGGGTGGAACTTTTAATGGGAACGGGAAAACATGGTGGGAGAACTCTTGTAAAATAAATAAAAGTCTCGTAAGTGATCATCTTTGTCTTTTTTTTAGTATATACTATCCTCCGTCTCTTTTTAATCGCAACATGTTGAATTTTACACTATTCACATGTTCTACTTTAACTAGATTTTATATTATTATTTTATGAAAATTATTATTTTTAAATTATATTGTTCAATTCATCTCATTACAAATTTTCAAAATCTAATTTTTAAATATTTTTTTACTAATAGGGATTAAGATATAATTACGGTCAAATATATGTGTTGGCAAGTGTGAAATGTTGACTGTTGCAACTAAAAAAGAACGGAGAAAGTACGAAATACTAGTATAAGGCCATATATCAATTATATATAAAATTTAGTTTTTCAATTATTTTTAATTTTAGATAATTATATTATTTTACTGAATTGGATGATGCATGTTGTATATTTTCTGAATCAATTCTCCCCTTTTCTTTGTAGCCATGCACGGATGCGCCCACGGTACGTTTTCTTTTTAGCACCATATTGTTAATTATTACTCCGTATCTTACTTATCAATTATCTTTTCGATATACGTAGTATGTGTTAAAAAAAATTATCTTTTCGGTATATATGTGTTTAATTTACATAATTACGCATACATACCAAAAAACAATACTTTTTAACTAAAAGTAAAATCATTGTAAATTTAGAAAAAACATAGCTAGTATGTAGAAGTACTATATCATCATTCCTGAGTAGAAGTATATTAACCCAATTTTAAAATCTCACTGTCATATTTTCGACATTAATTAAATAGTCAACAATAATGTTACGTTATAATTGACCATAATTCCCAAATATCAAAATAATTAGTTCCATTAATGAGAATAACATGGTAATTAATCATATGTATTTTTATTTATGTTACATAATTATACGCTCAAACACACATATATAATGAAAGTGTGCAACACTACGTATGTATATGTACAGGCTGTGACCTTTTACAAGTGCGAAAGTTTGTTGGTGAAAAACATTAACATTCAAAATGCACAAAAGATGCAAGTCTCGTTCGACAATTGCAACAATGTTAATGTCTCCGATGTTGTTGTGACGGCGCCGGAGGACAGCCCCAACACCGACGGTATCCATGTCACCGGCACAAAAAACATTCACATATCCAGCTGCGTCATCGGAACCGGTAATTAGTTTAGCGTTCTTTAATTTGTGAATGTATTGTTTTCAGTAAAATTACAATTGATCGATATATAGATTAAAATAAAATACACTTACTGAATTTCTTATTAATTAAATTATTGCAATAACATCGATCTCCGATGTTATATATTGTATACACCAAATAAAGTTCATGTCTTATTCGGCACCAATTTTATCACAGATCTATAATGCATGTGTAATAAATTCCTACAGAACTAATAATCATAAATAATTACTATTTTCGTTTATTAATTAACGAAGCTAATACTACGTATTATTGACAGGTGATGATTGTATTTCGATTGTGAGTGGCTCCCAAAACGTTGGAGCAACAAATATTACTTGTGGGCCAGGGCATGGAATCAGGTTGTTCATAATTTTATGTTTATATGTGTCATGTGTGTATCATTAATAATATAATTAGGAAATTAGTAAAGTGTATATGTTGATTGGATTGGTGGAGATTAGCATTGGAAGCTTAGGAGCTGATAATTCGGAAGCTTTTGTGTCTGACATTGTTGTGAACGGGGCAAACCTCACTCGCACTACAAATGGAGTCAGGATCAAGACATGGGCGGTAATTATACCACGTATTAATTAATTAATTAATTAATTAATTAATTAATTTAGTAAAATACTACCTTCATCCTGAAAAAGTTCGTCATACTGATTTTTCTTGGTCAACAATTTTCAAATTTTGAACAATGATTTTAATTATTATATTTGTATACTATGTATATTTTTATAAATTTTATACTTGAAAATATTTTGAATAAAGAACATTTTGATATAATTTTCATATTCAAAATAATTTTACATTAAGAAAATATCATTGCTCAAATTTGGTTGTCATTAATAAAGAAAAAGTCAATTTGACGAACTTTTTCGGGACAGATGAAGTATTACAAAAGCTAACCACGTACTAATGTACTAAGTAGTACTATATTAGACTCTCTTTAGTCTTGTAAAAAAACTCAATTTAACATATGGTTATAAGAAGTATTTAGCAAATTAAATAACCCAATGCAAAATGAGTAAAGCTAAAGTACTTTCTATGCATTGATGTTCTTTTCTAAATAGGAAGAAATTAGTATTGCCATTTGAAAAGATGACAATACTCTATGATCGAGGAATTAAAACCATAATCTAAAAAATGACACTATGACAGTATGATCTCCCTATGACAGCACACCGATTTGGTTTTACGATGATATTTTACATTATTAGTCTATTACTGCTATTTAGGAAAAAAAGAGCTAGTACCTTCAAACATGGAATACATTTATGTTTTATTTTTATTTTGGGTGATTTCTAATACCGGAGTAACACGTTTATTTATATATGCAAGAGTAACTCTGATTTTGACTTTTTGATCAAACATGCTGTTGGATCGATTCACCCCTTGTCGACAAACTTCCCAGTGGGTCACCCATCCCTGGGCTTTCTTACCCCGGGCTCGCTTAACTCCAGAGTTCTATGGTTAAATAGCAGCCATATCTTTCTTAAAACCAATTGGTGATAAGGAAGTGGACACCCTCTATTTAACCCATTACTCTGCAGTCCCCAAGTCAAGGTAGATTCCTGTGGGGCACCCCCCACAATTCACTACGGCAGTGCAGAGCCCCACTACTGAGCGGTGGATGGACATGAGGGGCTGCACCACTTCGTGGTGCCAACAGGTTGGGCGGTTAAGCCCAGAATCAAAGGGTGGTGCTGATCTCCCATAAGACCAACAATCACCCCCCCAGCACCAGCCGAGAGATTCACCTGTGACCTCGCTCTGATACCACTTGTTGGATCGATTCACCCCTTGTCGACAAACTTCCCAGTGGGTCACCCATCCCTGGGCTTTCTTACCCCAGGCTCGCTTAACTCCAGAGTTCTATGGTTAAATAGCAGCCATATCTTTCTTAAAACCAATTGGTGATAAGGAAGTGGACACCCTCTATTTAACCCATTACTCTGCAGTCCCCAAGTCAAGGTAGATTCCTGTGGGGCACCCCCCACAATTCACTACGGCAGTGCAGAGCCCCACTACTGAGCGGTTGATCAAACATGCAATTATAAGTTACGTTTTCCAAAGTAAACAAAATACTACGTTTAACAATGTCATTTGACTGTAAAATATTTTATTTTTATGGAAGTGAGAATTTTTTTACCAACATTTTTTTTGACAAATACCAACATTATTTATAATTGAGTAAAATGGACATTTGTTTTTGAGAGGGTGCTTGCATAATTAGTTCATATACTGTAATACAGTATATAATTAGTTCATATTTGTATTTTGGATGCATGTGTGCAGGGAGGATCTGGAAGTGCGCAAAACATCACATTTGAGAATATAGATATGCATGACGTGGAGAACCCCATTATTATCAACCAAAACTATTGCGATCTGAAGGATAAGCCATGCAGCACCCAGCCGGTACGTATATATATAATCACATTATTTATATTTTAAGTAAAAAATATTTAGAGTAAAAAAGATCAGAAAACAATAGTAGAAGATGATTAATATAATAGAGAGAAAATTATTTAGGTTTACACACTAAGTATATATGGAGTATGCATTTTGATATTAATTTAAGATGATTGATTATATAGAGAGAAAATTGTTTAAACAGTAGTGGTGAAATGTCAGTAGTTAATTAAGTTCCTGAAATAGGATCATCTTTAATTTGTTTCTTCCTAATAAAGAGCATCCAAATCATGAAAAGATCACTATTGAAAGTTATAATCTTATGGTTTCTATTCCTTCTATTAGGACTCGATCACAAGTCATGCATATGGAATAAATCGCAGTTAGTCCGGCCTATTTGTAAAATATATCTATGTGTACTATTCCCTACGCATATATACTTGAAATTTAGACAAAATGTACAAATAAGACTGCATGTACGTATTTTATTTCCGAAATATGACTTATTTAATCCTAATAAAAGTATAAACTTTCATTTTTAGAAGTGAATATAATTCTTATTTTAGAACGAAAACAATGACAGTCTTATAAGTGCAATGACGGGGATAAAAATATTGTGTATTTATTTTACTAAATAAAATAGTAACTTTAAAGAACCATTTTGGCCTGGTAACGAGTTTTTTAAAGAGCCACTGCACTATAGTGATTCCCTCATACTAGTACTAGGTACTAATTTAAGTCATATTTCTATCCATAATTTGTGTGAACAACGTAACATTCAAGGGAAAACGTACATACATCTGAATGAATACATACATTATTATTATAATAATAAATTAATAATTATAATTGTTTTTATTATGATTAATTATACGGAACATGTAATCAAATATATATACATGTCACGCATGCATGCAGGCGTCGACGGCGGTGGAAGTGAAAGAAGTGAGGTACGAGAACATATCCGGAAGTAGCGGGACGGAGGTGGCGGTGGTGTTCAACTGTAGCATGCCGCATCCCTGCCAAGGAATTGTTATGCGGAACGTCAGCCTGGTGGGGGAAGGTGGCGCTCCCGCCAAAGCTCAATGCAACAATGTCAATTTCGGCAATAATATCGCCGCCGATCACGTCTCGCCGCTGTGCGCCGCCCCGCCCACCGCCCACCCCACTGATCTCATTATTACTCAGTTTGTTCACCATCCACACCCCAGCTCAGATTATTAATTAAGATTGAATATCAGTAGCTAGCTAGCTTAATCAAATTAGGTGGAGTAATTAATTATTACTCCGCAGTTTAATTAGTTTGGCTTATGGGAATTATTTATTTTTATATACGGATCGGAGTATATTACTTGTATTTTCTCCGTATGCATATAGTACGTACTTCGTACTAATTATCCATTAATATATTCTTTAATTTGTACGTACTACACTACTACTGCTATTGAATTGATTGCTTCTATATATTATTATATTATATACTCTTACGAACACTACATTTCTATAATTAATTCTTATGTTACTCGCATGCTCAAGCTAGAATGAGAAAAGTCCGTAAAATATGAGTAAAAAATTGAACAAAATTTATAGAAATACGAAGTACTCCCTCCGTCCCATTTATATTGTCCCGGAAGAGGGTGACACGGTTATTAAGAAAAGTGAGTTTGTGTGGTTGATATTAATTGATAAAGTAAGAATAAAGTAAGAATGATTTAGAGCAACACAAACTTTACCAAATATGGTATGTGACAATATAAGTGGGACTTCCCGAAAAGGTAAAACGAGACAAAATAAATGGGACGGAGGGAGTACTACTTAGGTATATGTTTTACTCCCAACTTATATTCTTTTAATAGGATTTAATAAGTCTAATTTGTGGAATGAAACATACCTAGTCCTATTTTTAAACTTTGCCAATATTTTACTCCTATTTTGAACAATTTCTTAATTATTTGTTCAAATTAATTAATGAGTACCGGCCGGTGCAGATTTTTTAATTTCTTTTAAGTATTAATTAATTATGACTTGTTTAACCCTTAAAAGAGAATGGTTAGTGGTTCTTCAATTCTCTAAATACTAAGTAGTTCAAAATTCTTATCCTAAATAAGTATCGTAGTTCAAAAATTATAAATTACATTTTTTGTATTGAAATATATAGTTACATATATTTAATTAATTAGCTAGATTCTCAACATGCACAAGTAGCACATATATAAATGCTTCTGAAACGGTTAACAAAATAAAAATCACGCATTGATCGAAGGATATTTCTATGGTACCTACTTAAATAAATAAGGTACCGGTACCCAATATTTTTTAGCCAATCAAATAGCCGTATGAAGCCACCCAACCCTCCTATATCCGTATACTAAGTTTGATTATTTGCATTGTAGTCCCAAATCAACAAGTAGTTAACACGCCAAGTGAAAGTTAGGCTGTGAAGCACTTCTAGGCTGATAACTACCCATCAAGTCGATCTCCGCACTTCATCTACATAATTTCCTTATGCATCCTGCATCCTGTTTTCTTTCTATAAATTTCATTCATTTATTTTTGTACTCTTTGGGGTTTTCATCTATTCATAAATCATAAGCTTGTTTTCAGCTTATCCGTTTTATCTATCAATTTTTTCTATTAAATATATCATTTCTATTCATTTATTTTAGTACCATTTTGTTTATTCTACCATACATTACTTTTCATTATTATTACACAATTCAGCACGTGAAACCAAAAATTGCATAAAAAATAACTAAAATGATCTAGTTAACTTAGAATTACTTTCGTGGCTGAATTGACTAGAGTAATTGTAGAGGATCATATTAGTTATTTTCATGTAAATATTTTCTTTAATTTATTTATAAAATATGTACTCTATATTAAATATATATTTTCGATAATTCAACACATTCATCAAATTTAGTCACTTAAATAAGATTAACGTAGATTAATTAGTAAATTTAGTCAATTTCAGTGGTGGATCGATCTCTCGAACACTCTAATCCAGTGACGGATCTAGAAAATAAATTCATGGCCCGTTTGATGACTTATGCTTTTGGCTTATTAGAATTATCAACCAATTTTTTCACCAAATGAAAAAAAATTAATTTTGCGCGCTGAATTGTTAATATTCAAAATCAAAATAGGTAAGGTTGTTATTATTTTCCTGACATAATTGATAAAGTTATTATAGAAGATGATTCTAACTATTTAATATAATTTCTTCCTTTTTCTATTAACAAAATATATTTTAAATATAATTTTTACATAATTCATTAGATTAGGTATAAAGTATGTAAAAAAATTTAAACTCATTATTTAGGTATTAAGAGACTTTTAATTACATGAGGTATTAAGAGACTTGTATTAGAAATATATAAACTCATTATTTAGGTATTAAGAGACTTGTAATTACATGAGGAAAGGATACTATTGTAGTATTTTTTTTTTTTTTTTTGTATCGTTATATGCTAGTTGCCGTGAAAAGAAAACAGGGTGTAGAGAAAATTAAAATACGGAGTAATCCGTAAAGGAATAGGAAATTAAACGAACGAATGTAGATGGACAAATATTTAGTCGGTAGTTTTCATTACTTGTTAACTACTTTATTGGGGACTAAAATATAAATAATGGAACTTAGAAGGTTACGTACGTGGTTTCATAGTATTGTGTGATTGGTCAAAAGAATTGGGTACCGGTATCTTGTTTATTTAGAGAGGTACCGTGGAAGAACCCTTGATCGAATTGTCAAACAATCAAAATAAATAAAATTAGACCGAGTTTGAAGAATGAATTAGTCGTGTTTGCTAAAGAGTACTATTTTACTACTTTTTCATATAATATTTTCTTTGTTTTTTTTATAAAATATATTCTCAAGGTAAGTTTTTTATAACTCAGCATATTTAAACAATTGAGTGGCTTCATTCAAAATTCTACAAACTTTAGTACGTTAGACCAATTTTAATGTTAAAAATATGGCTCATAGTTTATTAACATTTTTTATTTCCATCATCATATGTTTTCTTTTCCTGGATCCGCCACTGATTCTAGTCCTGTATAAAGAATTCTCTCAACAAATTATGAATACAATAAGCTAAGGTTTCATTAATAAATAGACTAGACAATATTTATGGCATAGATTTATGAAGATCATATGACTCTTTTATAAAGTCATATGAGATATTGTGACATCATCATCATTACCGATTTTTAGTAGGAGCCAATTAATTAAAAAATGAATGGTGATAATGGTGGCACAATACCCATATAATTAACTCCATAAAGGAGTCATATGGGCCTCTTTAAAAAATTATATTTACAAAATAGATTATGGCCTCTTTAAAAATAGACGAAGTACTATAGCTAGTTCATCAATTGAAAACGAAATACCAACTAACTAATTTAATAAAACACATATTGATTAGGGGTGGGCGCGGTCCGGTCCGGTCCAATATTTGGCCGAACCCGTACCCGTACCGTTACTATTCAAACGGTTCGGTTCGGTCTTAGACCTAAACCCGTTCGATACGTTTCCATTTTCAAACGGGACGGTACCATGCCATACCAATACCAAACAATGTCATTTTTTTCAAATGTTTAAGGGGAAATTAAAGTTTAGAAATCGTCCGAAAATCCACATAATTTATCAATTTTCATACTATCTCCGTCCCAAATTGATATGCAAAGTCATGCTTTAGCAATCCTCCAAAAATCCAAATAATTTATCAATAATTATTCAACCAATGTTAAAGTTAAATCCTCTTTATTGATAATTAATTCAATTTTTAGCAATTAAAATTTACATGTTCCGAAACTACATTAAATCTCTTCAAAGTTGCAAACTCTAAATTAAATATAATTAAAAGTAGACATCCTAATTAAGTGATTAAAATGAAACTGTTTGACCAAGAAAAGTTAATTTTGAAAATCAATTTGGGACGGAGGTAGTATTACATAATTAATAAATTTCAAATAAACTATAGTAGTACAAATTTAAATAATTAAATCATACATCGGTGATCGGTCCGGTTCCAGGCTTCATATGAACTAGTAAAGACAGTGAAAGTGTGAATGCATTAGTCAAAGTAATGGTATAAATGTAAATTTAAATAATAAAATCATACTTCGGTTCGGTTCGGTTCGGTCCGGTACCGGTTCTCATTTCATGAGAACCGGTCATGGCATTGTTTAGAACCGGTACGGTACGGTTCGGGATAAAAAATTTGAGATCCGTTTCAAACCCCGTTTTTCGGTCTAGTGCCATATCGGTTCGGTTCGGTATCATGCCGGTTCGGTATTTTTGCCCACTCCTAATATTGATATATGCAGATATATATAATTGCTATAAATTGTTTTAGGCACTTTTAGCCACTAGCTAGCTAGCGAGTTCAGGTCGCTATTACGTACTCTATCAATATGCATGGTCAACTGGATAACGTATACTTTTAGTCAATAGCTAACTTCTATATATCTTTCACCATTTTAGAGATATAGAAAGAACTCAAAGTGGCCTAATAATAGAAAATCGATCGGGAAGCTAAGTTTTGCATGCGAATGCAATTCCAATATTCCATCCACGTAAATTAGGAAAGCCAACACCATGTTACTACTATATATATATAAAGGACCTAATTAATCAGGTCATATATAGATTACAAAACCCCACATAGCCTTCAACTCTAAAAAAACATAAAACATTTCGATCCAATTCAACAATATAATGGCAAAGCTAATGATAATACTCATCACTTGTTCTTTCTTAGCATCTCTTCCATTCAATGCGGTTTATGGTCATTCGGAAGTCTTTCCGGGGACCAAACTCAATCACGGAAATAAGTTCGGATCAGTAGGTTCGAAAGGGATTGCTTTAGATCGGTCTACAACCATAAATGTCGACAAGTTTGGAGCAATCGGTGATGGCAAAACCGATGATACAGTGGTGAGTAACACTTACATGAAATGCATTCATGCACAAATCAAATAAGTTGGAATATGTAACACGTACTATACGATTTCATGCACCAATAAATGAGTATATGTGTAACCTATAGCTAAAGAAAAAATCATGTCAGTCTTTTTTATACGTAGTACTTGGTATTAATTGTAATAAGAAATTACTCGAAATAGGATTAAATATATTTCTCCCAAAATAGGAATTATTATTCAAAGAGTAAATGAATACGTAGTACTACATATAAACTTCTCAAAATAGGAGTAAATGCGTCATATTTTATGGGGGAAATCAATAACTCTTACTATCGTATATTTGAGAAATTGTACATGTTATGTTTTATTTCCACATAGGCAATTTTCTTTTTATTTTAATTAGTATTTGAATTGAATAGTTGTGGTCAATGATAAAATTTCAGGCATTTCAAAAGGCATGGAAAGCAGCATGTTCATTATCTAAAGTAACCCTGGTTACTATGCAAGTACCTATGAAGAAAAGCTATCTTCTGAAACCAATTTCATTTTTGGGGCCGTGCAAATCACCCGTTAAAGTTCAGGTTGAGTTGTATATTTTCCTAATTAGTACTTCGTATTAATTTTTCATTTTCTTAAGCTTTTATAAATGCACATATTTGATCAAAATATGAAATAACTTTTTAACTATTTGTTTATATGCAGATAAAAGGGAACATTAAAGCTTCTGATAATCACAACGACTACAAAAATGATCTGAAGCATTGGGTTAAGTTTGGAAGTGTTCAAAATTTGATGGTTGAAAGTGGTGGAACTTTTAATGGGAATGGGAAAACATGGTGGCAAAAATCTTGTAAAGTAAATAAAAGTCTCGTAAGTCATCTTCATCTCACTTTTTAGTAAAAGTATTATTCTATGTATTTTTTTTCGAAAGGCAAACCACCAAAATCAGTGGGGTAATGGCGATATATTATTCTATAGTTATTAACCACTTAAATAAATTACAAAACTTAGGTTAGACTGGAGGGAATAATAATTAAACTAAACATAACATTAGCGAGGTGAAGTAAATATGAAGAATGGAAACATTTACGTTAAAAAGTTGAAAATAATTAAGTTATCATATCTACCTATAGTCTTAGCATAGATCCTCTCCTGTAAAACTTAAAATATGTAGTACTCTGTATATTGTTTGCGACATTACCATAATCTTTAAAAAATGAAAGTATGAATGTATGATCTCACTATGACAACACAATTTGTTAGTTTTTTTTTAAAAAGTAGTACTTTGGATGTTTTCTTTTGGACTGAAATTTGCTGGTCTGGTCTAGTCTGGTCTGGTCTGGTCTGGTCTGTTTTAGTCTGGTCTGGTCTGGGACTAAAAACAGTCCAAAAGAAAACATCCTTTATATACTGTCATCAATATAATTCGAAAAGTTCTTCAATTATTTTTTTAATTTGTATTTTATTTAAATAAGTATATATACATATTTGAGTAAGAATGTATTTAGAGTACTTATATATAGAAGTATTTCTGAACGAGTTGTCTCCTTTTTTTTGTAGCCATGCACGGATGCGCCCACGGTACGTTTCCTTTTCAGAACCATATTATTCTAGAGTCATATAATCTTATGTATCAATTTTCTTTTCTATTTTAATATATCACGGAAACAATGCCAAAATAGGAGTAAAACCATTATAAAATTAGAAAATAGGATTGTTTTTCTCCTAAGAAGGACTAAGTTACAGCATTTCTAAAACCATATTGTCATATTTTAATTTAATACGATAGTATATCAAACATGAACATGCATATCAATATTAGTGTCATAGTTGATTGCATTTTTCAAATACGACCGTAGCTATTCCAATATGTACACTTCACTTTGTTTTTCTCTTCTTTAAGGAAATTTTGAAGTAGCCATTTGTTTATTTCAACGTAACTTTGATAAATATATACACCCTAAATAAGCACTTAGTGTGTATATGTGATAAATATATACACCCTATATAGAGTCATAGAGCTCGATTTAGGTGAGAAAAGTTCTTTGTGATAGGAATAAGAATGGTCCACATTTTCATAGAGTTGCAAATCTCTAGTTCATGAGATAATGCACATTTCTGAAATAGATCACTTTCTTGATTGTTAAGACTAATGAGTTAAAAAAAATGAATCATATACTTCTTATTTTTTTTTTTTGGCAAAAAATATATTTGCGTGACGGATTGATATGAATGATATGATCTTTACTCTATGTATATAATTTTATTTTATTATATATAAACGTAATTAATATATATAATGAATGTGTGCAACACCTATGTATGTACAGGCTGTGACCTTTTCCAAGTGTGAAAGTTTGTTGGTGAAAGACATTAACATCCAAAATTCACAAAAAATGCAAGTCTCGTTCGACCACTGCAACAACGTTAATGTTTCCAACGTTGTTGTGACGGCGCCGGAGGACAGCCCCAACACCGATGGCATCCATGTCACCAGCACAACGAACATTCACATATCCAACTGCGTTATCGGAACGGGTAATTTCTTTTATTTGGCAAAATCGGATCTGGAACGGATAATTGATTCATTTAAAAACATTATAAACAAAAATGATGATATATAACTTTGGTATTCGGTTAATTATTTTATTTGTATGAAATTTATAATTTTATACATTTACAAAATTATGGTAACGAAAAATATTTCCACATAATTTTTATATTGTTAAATAATTTTGAACCAATAAAAGTGGGTATGGGGAAGCTCAATTTTGTGGAGGGAATGAATACGATCTATGGACAACTAAGCGTCTAAGCGTACATTTGAACTAAATAAATTGAAACAATGGCAAAAAGAGGACTATGGGCTTTCATCCGGACAAAAACATAGCTTAACTTCAATATGGACTTAAAAGTGAATTCGTAAAACTGAATGGACGTTTGTACCCTCAGATCTTTTCCCATTTTTCCAAATTCCAATCTGCACACCCTTCCTTCGCCCAATCCAGAATCCACCATCGCCGTTTGCAAAAAAAATACACAGGGCACAAATCTCTCTGCCTCCTCTCCAAGGTAACTGACTCGTGCGGCTTCCGTCGTCTGGTCACCGCCTCCGCCTCTAGGTCATCGCTCACTGCTCTTCTTCATCTTTAATTTCTGTTCGATTAGAGGTTAGGGTGACAGAAACGATGAACCTTAGAAAAGAAGATGGCTAGAATTTCATATCGCTAGCGATGGAATTCGTTAGGTTTAAGATATGCGGCGGCTAGGGATCGGTTGATTAGGTATTGCAATGACTCGACTGTCCGGCTAGGGTGCGCAGGTTCGGTACTGTGCTTTGGCGATTGTCATGGTTTTTGTTTAGGTTGGGCAGTGACTGTGGATAAGTCTGGGGTTGTCGATGACTGTTGCGACGTAGCTTGGGGCATTGGCGGTGGCTAGTGCTGGTCAGTGATTGGGACGAAGGTAGGGTTTGGAGCTGGGGTTGGGAGGAGACATAAATGGGGCGCCAGCAGCGGTCGTAGACAGGGCTGCGGCGGCGGTAGACGGGCCTGTGCGGCGGTAGATGGTTGGGGCGGCGGTTGCCAATCAGCAGTGGAAATTGACAGGGTTGCGGGGTCGGTCACTTGACGGCCTGTGCGGCGGTAGATGGTTGGGCCGGCGGTTGCCAATCAGCAGTGGAAATTGACAGGGCTGCGGGGTCAGTCACTTGACGGGCATCAGTTACTAGATGGAGCGGGGCAGGGTCAACAAAAAGAGCGGGGTGGTGGCACCGGTCACTCAACGGGTGGTCGGCGGCAGGGGTTGGCGCAAGCGGTCGGCGACGGTGTTGTTGGTGTAAGGACGTGGTCACTGGTCAGGGAAATGTTAGTCAATGGCCGACCCGCGACGGTATTGGTCACTGAGCGGATAAGATAATTGTAATTGATCGGGTCGAGTAACTGTAATTGATTTAATTGAGTAATTATTACTGGTGGAATCAGACAAACGTAACTGGTCAGTCGAGTAACTGTAACCGATCGGATCAGGTAATTGTAATTGATCGGGTTGAGTAATTGTAACTGGTCAAATTTGGTAACTATAATTGATCGAGCGAGTAACTGTAACTGGTCAATTTGGGTAACTGTAACTGATCGAGCGAGTAACTGTAACTGGTCAAATTGAGTAACTGTAACTGGTCAAATTGAGTAACTGTAACTGGTCAAATTGAGTAACTATAACTGATCGAGCGAGTAACTGTAACTGGTCAAATTGAGTAACTATAACTGATCGAGCGAGTAACTGCATGTAACTGGTCAAATTGGGCAACTATAACTGATCGAGCAAATCACTGTAACTGGTCAAATTGAGTAACTATAACTGATCGAGCGAGTAATTGTAACTGATCGGATTAAATAATTGCAAATTGTTACCCGGTTAATTATAAACGAAGGAGGGTTATAAAGTCAAAACAATTTTTTGACCAAAGTTTAAACAAGCAGCAATTTTTTTTTTTTTGAAAGTAGCAGCAGCAAAGTTGTTGACGGAGCAGAAAGTCGGAAACGGCTAGTAGGAATGCAATCTTTACGTAAGTTGACTAGCAGGGGCATAGATGGTATTTGCTTCCCAATTTTTAAAATGAAACTACCGTATAGTCTCTTTCTTGGAAACTAATTAAAGAAGACTTATATTTGTCTAAATAAATTTGTACGGAACTACGTACTAGGAAAAAATATTACTAATATTTTAGATCAAGATTTCTTAACTATTTAATCTAATTTTATTGACAGGTGATGATTGTATTTCGATTGTAAGCGGCTCCCAAAACGTTGGAGCAACAAATATTACTTGCGGGCCAGGGCATGGAATAAGGTTATAATGACATTTTTATTTATATATGTTTATGAGTGTGTGTATTATTATAATTAGGAAATTAAATAATGTATATATGTTAATTAAATTGATAATTCGTTGTTGCTTTCTGTATTGTCGTTTTCAGTCAGACTTTTACATTAAGTAGGGGTGATGGGTGCTCTAGCCACGTTTGGCTCATTTAGACCCATTATAGGACAAGCGAATCATATTGCTCTATACAGGGTGATTGGTTCTCCAACTGGTCCGAGGGTCGATGGCTGGAAGTATTTCCTTTGTCGTTTGTATCCCTTGCTGAATGTTTTATTATCAATATAAGCCCCCTTGTTACCAAAAAAAATTAAATTGATGATTAAAATATTAAATTGATGATAAATGGTGGCGATTAGCATTGGAAGCTTAGGAGGTGTTAAATCGAAAGCTTTTGTGTCTGGGATTGTTGTGAACGGCGCAAACCTCACTCGGACTTCAAATGGGGTCAGGATCAAGACATGGCCGGTAATTATATTAATTAGTTTACATTGTCACGTTAATTATTAGCTTAATTACCTTGTTTGATTAAAGAAACTTAATTTCACATATAGGTATACTTAGCCAAATTTCCAAAAAATATGAGTAAAACTAAAGTATTTTCTTAATAGCATGCTTTTTATAAATAAGAGTAAAGTATTATCATCATCAAGGCCGGTTTTAAGAAAACAAGGGCCCTGCGTAACAACAAAATTAGATTTTTCGGAAAAAGTTTAAATAGAAATTAACAACCTAACAACCTAGTAATATCAATTTGTTAAGCTGAATTACAAATTTTAAAGACTAACAACTTAATAATATGAATTTGATGGTTTAAACTTTTCAAACATGCATCAAGTATTTCAAAGTAAGCAAAAATATAAGGCTAATAATGTCGATCATTTGATTCCTAAGTTTTTATTTTTATGCAACTGCCAAATTTATTTATGATCATGTATAACATAATTGCAAATTTGTTTTTGAAACGGAGGGAGTCATCAAAAAATTTCAAATAGAACATGCCTATATATTGTTTTGGATGCAGGGAGGATCTGGATGTGCACAAAACATCATATTTAAGAATATAGAGATGCATGATGTGAAAAATCCGATTATCATAGACCAAAATTACTGCGACCCCAAGGACAAGGCGTGCATCACCAAGCCGGTACGTAGTGATAATTATACTATCGTATTAAGGATATTTTATCCGACACCATACCACATCGCATTATATCAGATCAAATCAGACAAGTTCAGACTAAATAAAATCAGATTTGATGAAACTTCGTCAGTTGTAAAATATACAGAGATCAGACATTTATTAAACTAACTCAAACCAGTTCAGACCAGAAACATTCAGTCCTAGTAAAAAGATTCCTAATAAATAAAGTAAAAAATAGGTTTGACTTACATATGAAGTACTCTCTCCATCCCCTTTTAAGCCAAATTTGACTTTTCAATCAAGTCAAAGATGTTAAGCTTTGAGCAATTGTATATTTCCACACAGTAATATTGATAATATGAAAATAATATGAAAATGTTCATTTGTTAAAAATACTATCATACAAATATAAATTTATTAAGATTCTCATAAATATATTAGTTAAAATAATGGATCAAATTTGCCATCTTTAAATAGAATAACATGAGACTATTTGTTAAAATATTTGTTTCACACCGGAAAACTATAAACTAATAAAACACTATATAAGACTTTGAGGTACTCCTCCTATCAGGTTGAACTTTTAGAATGAAATCCCAAATCGTAATATTATTGTTATTATTACTTTGTTAACGTTGTTGGCGTTGCTGCAATTAATATTTTTTGTGAACATGCATGCATATATGCAGACGTCGTCGGCTGTGGAAGTGAAAAAAGTGAGGTACGAGAACATATCAGGAAGCAGTTCGAAGGATACGGCGGTGGTGTTCAGATGTAGCACGGCGCATCCGTGCCAAGACATTGTTATGCGGAATGTGAGTTTGGTAGGGAAAAGGGGCGCTCCGGCAAAAGCTGAATGCCAGAATGTCAATTTCAGCAATAATGTCGCCGCCGATCATGTCTCGCCGCTTTGCCCAGCTAATCTCAGTATTACTCAGTTTGTTCACCATCCCATCGACATATTAGCTCAGTTATTTAACAGTAATACTATAGCTAGAATGTTTACTTTAGTTAATTAGTTAACTAGATTATTTTTGCTATGTACTTGTATTTCTAATTTTCTATGTATATATATATATCATCTCTGTGGCCCTGGTACTTGTCAAGTGTTATATCATTAATAATTGTAATCTATAGTCTACGCTCATAATTTTCAATATGTATTAATGTCGCTTGATTGGGATGGCACTCAAATGTTCGACATCTTATTCAGTTATTTGGAAGATCAGCATTGATGTTATCGATAATTTTCTCATTTTCTCTTATATTTAGTTGGATGCACTCGCATGCTGAAATTATATTGTACAACTAGTGTATGGGGTATTCCGTCCGGCCAATCAAGCCGGAGTAGCATTATACTTGAGCTTGATAATTTCAGTACTCAAGAACAATCAAGTAATGCATTTCAAACTCAAACTCGCGTCAACGGTGTACAAGAACATTTAAAATTCAATTCGAAAAACTCAAATCCTTGTGCAAACTCAAATCCTTGTGCAAACCTTTTTAAGCTCAAGCACTTGATATTATTCGAACAATCAAATACATTATCACGAAAAATCTATTTATTTTTATCACCAATGTCATCAAAACAAGACCTCTATTGTAAGTATTGAGTAATACGGAGTATTTTCTAGGGAAAATTCCTTTTTGTACATGCAATTTTTATATAAGTAATGTATGTTAACAACTAATGTTTTCTTATTACGATAGTATAAAATTCATCTAAAAAGGTAAACTTTTGGTTTTCTATGTAAAAGTTGTCTATGTAAGGACGTATAAAAGGGTGTCTAAACAATCAGCAAGCAGGGCTGGTTTTCTAAAGCCAACTGCCCACATTTGAAAAAAGTATATTTAGAATAAAGTTTCACGTAATTTCGAGTAAAAGCGGGAGAATAAAGCTCAAAAAATTATTGTGTAAAAGCATGCAAACTCAATTATTGAAACCCCTACCTAAGTAGCACCGGGACGGATACAGAAACGAGGAAACTCTAAACTCAAAATATCAAGATATGGGTACAACAAAGAAACGCCAAACTAATAATTAAAATTTTACCAGGTCGTGTTTAAGTCCAAAATATACGAAATAAATAAATCAAACATACGAATAGGTCATGTTTAAGTCCAAAATATACGAAATAAATAAATCAAACATACGAATAGGTCATGTTTAAGTCCAAAATATACGAAATAAATAAATCAAACATACGAATAGGTCATGTTTAAGTCCAAAATATACGAAATAAATAAATCAAACGTACCAATTTATCCTTATTGTAATCCATTCTACGAACGTTACTGGGGATTGGGGAACCAATTAAAGTGAAGCTCACCGCCTCACTGAAATAAGGATGAAGAAATAGCCAGAAGCTTTGCTTCAAGCCTTCAAGTCCAACACTAGCTGGCCTTTGCGTCTAGTGTCTGGGTTCATTATCGGCAGCTTCAAGCCTTCAATTCTGACGCAGAAGGTTTGTTGTTCCAGTCAAGTCGTCGACCTTCGCTTTGGAGTGGGGACTGGGAGTCACACAGAAGGTCTGTGAACGAACTTTGTTTTTGGATAGCGTGCGGCAGACTGGACGAAGGTTTGCTTTTAAGTTTCAAAACGCGTCGATTGACTTAAAAATACGTTTCAGAAACGTTTCCCCAACCCAGCCCAAAAGCCCAATAACTCAGAAACGTTTCCCAGCGTTTCCCCGGCGTTTCCAGGCATTTCCCGTTTCCGAAACGGGAAACGGGATTGGTGTTTCCGTGCTTCCTAGCTGGCCATTTTTCAAGCAGTTTGGATCTTTCTCAATTTCACACAAGCCAGATTTCGGTAAACAATTATAAAAACAATTTCATTTGTGAATGTTGAACCTAAAATAAAATCAGAGCAAGGAAAAAAGAACAAGTAATACGTTAGAAGAAGTTTGCACTTGAGTATTTACAGAGCAAGGTGTTCAGAGTTTATTCACTAATTACCTGCTCAGGAGAAGTCAATCAACAAACTTGACAAAAGAGCTGTTTGCAATCCAGAGTCCCAAGATGCAATCCTAGCTTTACAAAGAAAACTAAAACTAATTTTAGTTAACCAGTCAAATGTCGCTTTTCGTGAGAAGCGTACAAAAGCGTCTCTTTGGCGCTGCATCGCTTTTGCACTTAAGCTCCAAGTACAAAAGCGACAAAAAGCGGCATTTTCTCACTCAGTTGCTTAGTGAAAGCTATGTGCAAAGCTGTAGCTCGCTTGGGATTTGGCACTTAAGCTTACTTTTTGTTGGTTTTAACAAGTCTGATCATGCGAGAATTTGGTGCATTAAATCGAACAAGCAGAAATAAGCAAATTTAAGTCAAAAGTTGATTAACACTTGTAACAACTGAACACTTACTATGGGTAGACTATACCTATTGTATTTGAATACTAGCTTACAAAGTTAAGACACAAGATAAATGGAATTGCCAATACAAGAAGTAGAAGCTATAATAGAATATTCTGTGTGACCAATTCAATATGATCTTTAGCATATCATTTACTACTTCTCAATATCCATAGCTTGTGCAGCTTTGGCTTTTGCCAATGCTGTCAATTTTGTCTTCAATTTCTTCTTCCCCACTGCAAATTTACCACCACCCTTCTTCTTGGCCTTCCCATCCACCTAAAACCAGAACCACCATCCAAATTAAGCACTTAATAGTTTAGCATCACAACTCACAAGACAATGGAAATTTAAAATAACTTTCCATGTCACTAAGATTTTATCACAAATCAGATTGGTATTGTACCCCCCCCCCCTCAGAAAAACAGTGGAGAACAAGTTGTATGCTCAAGGTGCATCACTACATCTTCTGAATTTTGGCAGAGCAACACACCTCAAATTTATCATGAACCTACTTACAATTTGTTTTTGCAAATCAAACTTGAAAAATTGAACCAGCTATGTGAAGCTATAAAATTCTTTTTTGGACAAACGAACATGTGAAAAATCAGGATTTTGCTCCTAATGGAGAATCAAATCCAATTAACACCAACCGGCTATCCTAGAGAAACCATTAAAAATCGCATACATATTGCTTTCAATAAAAAGTAAAAGCGTTGCATTGAGCATAGTTGATAATAGCTACACAAGGCTCCAAAAAATCAGCAAAGATAGCAAGCTGGGTCTCAATTGAAGGAGAAACTAATAAGTAATTAAACGGCAAATTAAAGTATAAAAATCGATTTTGATGAGACGAAGAAAAGGAAACTTACTTTCATCTTGTTCTTCTTAGCTTCTAGCCTCTTCTCCTTCTTTTCCTTCTCTTGTTTTTCTCCTGATTTTTCATTAAATAGAAAAATACACCGTCAAATCAGGAAAAAAAGGAATACGAAAGAAAAATTTAAGGCACTGTACAACTTCGTAGATCGAATTCGTGCTGCTTTCTGCGGGTAGAAAGATTATTCTTCTTCGACATTTTCTATCCCCAAACTAGAATTGCGTTTCTTCGGTTCCCAAGCCACTCCAGTAATCCAGTTAGCTCCTTGAATTTTCTCTTTGCAGTAAGCCCTAAGTTCCTAACCCAGCTCAAATTTCATTGGGCTCCTCATTTATATTTTACTCCTATTTCATTTCAGAAGAATAACACTTCACTTGTTTTTTGGGCCCAATACCAGAAAATAAACCCTTCATGGCAAAGAGAGAGAATATTTTATACTAGATGATGAACCCGTGTCGGCCGTGTGTTGCATGGGAAAAACTAAAGGAGTGTTTAGGATTGATTAAAAAAAGCGTTTTTCAGCTTTTGGCTTAAAAAAATGTTGAAAAGAATGTTTTCAAATGATAGCTTCTGCTTAAATTAATCACTTAAAAGCTAAAAGCTAGAAGCAAGTAGAAGGGTGTTTTAAACTATTTCTCACTTTTTCTATTACACAAAAAATACTTATTTTACCAAACATTACCAACTTTTACTTTTTCAGAATCACTTTTTTCTCAAACACTACCAACTTTTACTATTAATCACTTTTCCCAAAATCACTTAAAAATCACTTTTTTAAAGTTGAAGCAATCGCAAACACTCCCTAACTCACGTTACTCAAATAAAAAAAGATTGGATGAATTATTTTATACTACCTCCGGCCCGGGTAGCACTCCACGTTGAGTTTATGATGTTGGACAAGTCATAAAGTTCAGAGTTCTTGTTTATAATAAAAACATTTTTAGTAAATGAAATTTATATATTCAAAAACTATATTAAAAATCTTGTAAAGTCATATTAAAAAACTCAAATTTGATAAAAAATGATATAAAGTAAAACGTCAAGAAAAATTGACATTATTTTCATCTAATTTTTTATTTCATTAACTAAATATATTTTAAATATGGAGTATGATTTTTCCATAATTTAGCAGAATTAGCAAAGTCAACCAATTCAGTCAAAATTTTGTAATTTCATCAGTTTTAGCCGGTTCTGTCAATTGCAATGCTACTTAATGAGGTCTCTCAACAAGTACTACTTGACTTACTTCCATGGATGCCACTTATGAGAGAATGAGCTTTCATGAGTGTTTTTAGGGATCGGCAAACCGGTTCGGGTTGAGTAAATCGAATGTATCAAATTGAACCGAAACCAGATCATATGTCATTCAATTTGAGTTTGATAGTATGTCTTTCCAATCGAATTTATACCAAACTAAAACAAATAGAAACTGTGAAAAAACGAATAAGGTTGAGTTGAACTCAAATAGTCAATAAATTCTTAATATGTTTTTAAGCATAACAAATCAAAAATCGAAACGGATTGAACTGAAACATAGTGAAGTAAGATTTTTGTTTGGTAATTGTGCTTCCGATTCATTTTCAACCAAATCAAACTAATATTAAAACCGATAAAAATTGAATTGAAACAGCTATGCCCTACCTAGTATTTATATATATAAATTTGTTACTCAATGAATTTTATTTTATAAGAGAAATATTTCTTTTTAGACTACAAAAACTATGTTTCTCTAAAATTGAAAAAACTAATTTTTTACTTTTTTTTTATTCTCTTATCTACATTTTTACCCACTTATTTTTTGTAAACTCAGACTACTTTTTCTTATCCATTGAATATCAAAATTGTAAAGATGAGGTATTCCATGTACTTATGTACAAATTTGAATAATTTTCTGTAATTGTAATTGGATTCAAATAATTATGGACGTTGTCAATGATCTCCTTAATTTGTTCAAATTTTATGTGTATTTACGCTT